CAAATAGGGAAGGGTGGAGGGGGTGAAGGGAGGGCAGGGGAAGGGGAAAAAAAATAAAAGCCAAGATACATCATGTAAAGGTACAAGATCCCAATGATGAATGTAACTGTATTTTATACCTAAAATGTACCAATAAACTTAATGAGAAAAAAAAATAAAAAATAAGGATCTGTCCAATTTTCAAAGAAGAATATGGGATAAATCTTTAGTGTGCACAATTATAGGGCATTTAACAACTTGAACCCTAGGAACTAAATGTGAGGATCAGTTCACCCCAGTACTTTAAAAATCCTCTTTTCTTCTTTTATCCATTCTTAAAACACACAGACAGAAAACAAAAGTTCATTTTACCCTTCCTTCCACTGCACTGAAATTGCTGATGAACTAGTAACTAGTGACCTTCTAATGACCAAAGACCATGCATACATGCTTTCAAATCCTCATTCTCTTTGAACTCTGAAGTACATGGTAAATTTTAGGCATTGTATAAATAAATGCATGATGACATTTTCTTGAATGGATATTTAGTTCTTGTTGAACTCTTCAAAATTTGGACTTAAGATACAGTTTAAATAATGGTACTCTCGGGTGAATGGGATAAACAAGCTCCTGTCACTTAGAATTTATATTCTAGAAGAGGAAAATAACAAATTAAAAAAATAATTGAAGAAGAGGACAACAATAACTAAGAATAAATGAGGGCCTGGGATTTAGCTCAGTGGTTCTGGTGCCTGCCTGGCAAGGCCAAGGTCCTGAATACGATCCCTGGTACCAAAATAAATGAATAAATAAATACAAATAAATAAGAGCTTTGGACTGTAATAAATGTTATGATTAAAATTCAAGTATTAATATAATTAATTATTATAGAACTAATTCTTAAAGAGTAGTCAGGGAAGCCTCTGAAAAGATGGCAGATGAAAAAGTACTTGAATGATTTTTAAAAAGAACCACCTATGCTGAACTGAGTAAGAACATTAAAGAGAGGCAGCAGCAAACAAACAAAACAAACTTCATGCATTAGAGGAAGAAAAAGGAATACAGCTTAGCAAAAATGTATTACAGGCATGCACTATATTTTGACATATATTTTCTCATGCATCCCACCCACAATCGTATAAGACAAGCAGATTTATTATTCCCTATTTCATAGAAAAGAAAGTTGAAGCTTACAGAGGTTAATTCTTTATCTATACAGTCACAGGATTAAATGAAGGAGCCTTTCCACAATATGACTTGGGGGATGATGCTATTTCAACAGGAAACCCTCAAGAATGTGAAGGAGCTCAAATTTGTTTTTACCGCTCCAGAATATTTTCAGGAATTCAACTACGTCAACAACTTTCTAGCCTTTGAATCTAGCCTTCAATTCTTAAGAATGTAGGTTAAATATTAGGTCTTTAAAATGTTAACACTTGAGGTTACAAAATATTAAGTTGTTCTGTTTACACAAGCTTTTATGCAAATCTGTTTTCCTTTCTAAGAGCCTCCAATTCTATAAGCCTTAACATAAGTTCTTAAGAGATGGGATACTAGTGAGACATTAAAAAGAATAAATATTTCATTAGTTAGTAGTTGAATAAATATAATAATCTGTCAAACACAACAAAGCACTAAGTCCATTTTTCAACTGTGTACTACACTCAAAGATATCTTTCACATGGTGTGTTTACGTCAGCAGATGGTTTTAAATGCATTACAGAGATTAAATGAAATGAACTACTGAATAAAGTCATATGGCCTAATAACATAAATCAGCATTTCCCAAACTGATATTTCTCAGAACCGGTTCCAAGAGCTGCTTTGTGGGGAAAAGAAGAGTTCTGTGGTTAAGTAAGTGTGGGAAACTCTTAGTTCCATACCCTCATTACACTGTTTCTAAAAGCCTCTCAAGAAACTTTAATATGCTAATGTACTATAAAGCCTTAAAAACTTTATGAAGCCTTACAACTTTGTGTGTGTGTGTGTGTGTGTGTGTGTGTGTAGTATAATTAACATTTCCTTTCACTAAAGCACTCAAGGAAATGATATAATTCAATATACAAATTTTACATTTTATATAAGCTTGCAAAATAAAAGACTGAAGCAAATTATATGAGTAGTTTTTCTAGCATCAACAACATTGAGAAGAATAAAATTATTCTATTAAGCATCATGGCACTAACAACATAAACTAAGTACATAAAATATATCTTTGAAAAAGAACATATATACATACTTACCTGATCCCTAATTTGGGACATGAGGTGTTCAACGTCTCCTGTAAAATGTTCAAGCCTATGTTTGTAGATTTTAGACGCCTTTTTTAGAGCTATAGCCTTTTGCTTACTTGCTTCTTTCATGGCTACAGCCTCATGCTTATTTGTTCTCAACTGCAAGTTCCATTTGGCTATTTTGGTTTCTAAGCTCTAAAAATATATTAACAACAATTAAATTATTTCAGAACTCCAGTGTTTATATAAACATTATAAAAACATGTATATCATCTTCTGCACAGCTTTTATCAAAACAGCTAATCTTAAGATGAATAAGCAAAAATATGAAGATAATTTCACCAATGCTTCTTTGTAACCAATTAAAAATTGTAAATTTAAAATATTTAAGTTTACATAAAACTAATACTACCATTATTAAACAGACTAATATTGGTGATTATGGTATAAAACACCAACTTCCTTAAAACTTCTGTGATTAATTAGGGCATTTTTAACTTCATATCTGGAATATGACACATAGAACTAGTTTTAAAAACTAGTTTTAAAAAAATCGATCTGGAAATTATCCAAATAAGAGGTATGCAGAGTTCAAAAGGAATTGGTAGCTCTTGAAATACATTAGTACTCTTTAGTTTCAGAGAAAAAAGCTTAATCCCCAAATACATTAGTGTTCTTTAGTCAGGAAGATAAAAGCTTAAGGAAGATATGATCAAAATCATGCAGGGTAAAAGACGAAATGAACACAGACTTACTCATCAAATTTTAATTTACTAGAATTAAGAGGCATGCCCTGACACTAGAATGCAGTTACATTAAGGACAATAAAAGTACTATTTTATCCAACAAGTGGTAAATTTTTGGAAGTAATGATTGATTCTAACACTAAACACATGTTTAGATATATTAATGACCAATGGATCTATAATATCAGTAAAGATAAAAAGATCATTGAGCTCAGGCTCCTATGGGTTGAGTGTGATTACGTTAATTGGCATGACCATATCTTTGACATATCTCTTGGTAACATAATGAAAGAATATCACTCTAGGTGGATAATGGATCTAGTTTAGTGTGACACCTTTCACGTTTTTATTTCAAATTATTTTAAGATTTTGTATTGAAAATATTTGAGTATTAAATTTCTAAAAATGTAAAGACAAGATTTTAATGCTTTTACACTTGGAGAATAGGTAATATTGAAAAGAATGTAAAATTATTACAGGATTTGGGTTCTAGTCTCTTATTCCCAAGTTAGTCATTTTAATAAAAAACATTTCAAAGGAGTGACAGAAAAGACGTGGCTTTTCAACTTTGTATCAACAAAAAGCATGGTTCTTAACTTTAACGATTAAGAAGTACATTTTTGGATTTATATTTGATCTCTTTAAAGAGTGATTGGGTAAACTAATAGAAGAGAAACACATTCTTAAACTGTCTTTAAATGTGTCACATGCCTATAATTCCAGCTACCGAGGAGGCTGAGGTAGGGGAACTGCATGCTCCAGGCCAGCCTGGGCAACTTAGTGAGACCTGTCTCAAAATAAAAATTTATAAAGTGGTAGAAGGCTTGTTAAGCGTGGATTCAATCCCCAATACTGGAAAAAAATCTTAAACTTAAAAAAAAAAGTCCTAGGAAAGATTGCACTGAATAGCTGAGGGGGAAAAAAATAACAGGGCAGCAAGTCTATGGAAGAGAAAAAGCCACTCCAGAGGAAATACAGTTGTCATTCCTCTAAACAGCCACAGGGTGTCACCATCACACTATGAAAAGAGTAATCGTTATACAGATGTAAACAAATCTTTACATTTGATAGTTTAAGTAAAAAGATTTTTTTAAACAAGCTTACAACTGGATTTTCTCATTAGTTTTTATCAAATCCCCAACTTAAGCAAACTATCGAGAAGTATACTGAAAATATTTTCTTAGTTTCAGAGTAATCCTCAGTAATTTGCCAAATAAATAGACATATTTAAAGTCAACGATTTGCCTTTTCCTACTTCCAAAGAACTATATACTTGCTGTATATACTTGCAGATAATTATTCCTTATCTTTTCTAAAATTAAAAAATATTTTAACTCTAATTGCTACATTATAAAGATTTAAAAAGACAAATTTGTTCAAAGTTGTCAGAGAATTAGAGTACATTTTTAAAAGACCATCTACATACAGTACACTTCCCACAGTAAAAATCTGAGATTTATATTGCCAAACTACATTCACTGATTTTATTCTTTAAAAAAAAAAAATCGAAGTTCTTATACCTAAAATCAAAGAACTAAATTCTAACCCAATTACTTAGTGTTTTAAAAATATGTGAACAGGCCGGGGTTTTAGCTCAGTGGTTTCGCCTCCTGCTGTGCAAGCGCCACAGACAAGAGTTCGATCCTCGGTACCAAAAAATAAAAATAAATAAATAAATAAAAGTATGTGAACAGGAAGAAAGTAGAAAAGTCAGCAACCTAAGGCAGCAACTTCTTTTAATCATTTCTTAACATTGGCATTTTTAAAAAGAAATCAGACAAAAAAATGTTATGGAAATATCTTTGGATTTTGGCCTGATATTCTTTCTCCAAATTATCACGGATATGGGAAAAAAAAATTATTAAACTTATTTTTTAAAAATTATTTAATATTTCATTTTTAAATTTAAGAGAGTATTTTCAAAACCTTCCCAACTGCTGTTTCAGGAAATAATTAAAAGTTGCAAGGGGGCCGGGGATTTAGCTCAGTGGCACCACGCCTGCCTCACAAGCACAAGGTCCTGAGTTTCATCCATGGTACCAAAAAAATAAAAAGTTGTAAAAGATAAATTGGGGTAGATAACCATTTGATGTGTTAGATCACAATTATCATCATCTCTTGTATTTACCGTACAGAGCACTATAACAATGTATCTATTTTATCTGCAGTGTCCTATGACATCAATGTAAAGGACACAGGGAATCTATAGGGGAAGATAGTGAAAAAGAATATGCAGGGGGAATAAACAACAAAATTTACACCCTCCATAAGCCTGCTTAGTGTCCTTGTAAAGAGCAAAAGCTTTCTGTCACTGAAAGAAGAAATATATAAACCCAAGCACGACTTTGAAACACATGCTACAGGTTGCAGACATATGCTATAATTCAGGAGTGTAAAAGCAAACAAAAGTCTCAGTAGAATTCCTTATACTCCCTGGAGTGAGTCTGTACACTTCTCTGAAGATGGGAACACTACTTCTTTTCCTTTGGCAAAGATAATAATGGTAGATCCAGGTAAGTTGTTACATATGATAGCAACTTCAAATTATGTTACGGTGACAGTCCCACCAACAGAATAATAAACCAAAACCTCCCTATAGTTATACTTTAATTGTACATTGTTCCTTTAATTGTACATATAATTGTATATAATCTCATTAATTTACAAAGATGTAAAACATAAGAATTACTCAATTATCTAATATCAAAGCTAGGTTAACTGATTTTGAAATTTTTATGATTAATAAGAAAAATGTATTCACTGCTTATTAAATGTGTTATGTACATATGTATGCATGTATAGATGTAGAAAAAAGACTGGAATCATGTATACCAAAATGCTAACAATGGTTTTGGAATGTTTAATGGTTTATTTTTTATTTACTCCTTTATTCAGTATTTTGTTTTTTATAAAATTTCTGCAGTAAACATAAATTAACTGCATCATGAGAGAGATGTTTAAAGTAATTCAATATTTACAAATCCCTCCTAGAATGGCACTAAAAAGAGATAGCATTTTTATATTGGGATTTGGATCCAAATTTTTTGTTTTGTTTTGGTATCAGGCATTGAACTCGGGTCCTTGAGCTTGCAAGGCAGGCAGCGGAACCACTGAGGTAAATCCCTGGCAGGATCCCAATTTTTAGAAGGACTAGAATTCCCGTAAGTGGATTTCCATGGCATTTCTCAAACTGAATTATTTTATCATTATAAAATAATTATTCCCCCATTAAGGAATAGCTTTCTAGTTTTTCATGAATTTTAAGTTAAACTATAAAATAGATAAGAATTTATAACCTTTATGTCTTCTTTTAATTTATCATTCTCTGCTTCCTTTTTATTAATTTGGAGCTGTAGTCGTTCATGTACTACTTTTACTGATTGAAAAAAACGGTTTGCTTTCAATGTATTTGCCTGTAATAGAAAAGAAAAAAAAGAAAAAAAGGTTACTTGCTATTTCCCACCAACACTTTTAATTTTTCCACAATTCAGACACAATCTCAAAGGATGATAAAAGCAAAATACTTCACACAAACTGATGCCTCACCACAAATATATTTCATGTAAAATGAGGCAGGAGTTTTCTCCCCATATTTTATTTAATGTTTCCTGATAATTATCTTTTATTAAAAAATTCCAATCTCTACTCTTCAGTAAAATTATAGGTATGTCTAAAATACTCCTACAAACACCAAAATTCCTTAATTTGTTCCCAAATTGAAATACAATACAATTTTATACAGAGTTCTTAAGTTGTGCTGATTTATACCAAGTGGACTCACTAAAACGCTACAAAAGCCTAAAAAGAAAAAAAAAAAAAAAAATTTTTAACTGAGAAAAATTAAGTTGCTACTTGTAAAATATTCCAAACAATCTAAATTGTCAAAAAGCCTTTCCTGTATTCCTTTCTTTCTTACTTCTAAAGATATAGGACCATGATGGAGAGAAGGGAAGAGGGAGTCCATATTAAGAATAATGGCGAATTATCCTCAAAAGCTCAGAATTTGCTTACCTTTTCATTCTGAAACAAACAAGAAAGTTTTTGAATATAGTTCTCCTTTTCAAGGACCTTCTTCTTAAGACTCTTTAAAAAAAATGTAAAAGAAATTTCACAACTCAGACAATACTGACTAATTTTATATAAGCAAAAAAAAAGTCAGAAGGATGGATGCAAAGTGAAGAATCACTTACAATGTTTTCACTTTCATTATCAGTTAGATTCTTTAACAACATGCTCGGTAAATTGTCTCCTGTCTGTGAAGAAAGGAAGTTAGATATCAGTGTCCACAAATTGTACTTCTGTATATAAAAAAGTAGAAAGAATAAGCACCACTCAAAAAATTAATATAGACAACCACTATGTACAGTTCAGATTCCTAAGGGAGCCATCAGAAACATTTTTGTCTAAGTGTTCCAAATCCTTCTTTTGGCCATGATTTATGAAGTTATTTAATTTATTAAATTAATCCCAAGAGAATACACTAAAAATTTAGGCCAATGATATTTAAATATCACAAAAACCCTGTTACAAAAGAACTGTGACATACTATTCTTTATAAATAGGTAAAAATTATAAACATTCTAAATTCCAGCAATAAAAATTTTATAAAGAATAACAGCAAATTAGCAACAGAATTCTATGTAGCCATTTTAAATGAGACCACAGAGAATGTTTATTCATTTTCGTGGGTCAGGTTCCTACTTAAGAATATCAAGCTATAAATTTTCTTTAACCCAAAATACAGACATGTGCATATAATCCACAATTGTACACACAATTTCAAAGGGCCCACACAGAGCTTAAGATTCCTTTCTATTGAAGAAATATTTAATAGTTAAGAAAATATTTATGATACAGTGTTAAATACAAAAGTGAAGTCATAAAACAGTGCAAATAATATGACTTCATTATTCTAAAATGATACACATATATGCACAAATAATACATATACAGTAATGGAACAAAAGACTACAAGTATATACAACATAAATTTAATAGAGCATAATACTGACTTTTCACTATTAACATCAACAGAATAGATTTCTGATGAGCATAAAACTTTTTAATTAAAAATCTGTTATCTAATATTTTACATTTTTTTCAATTCTGAGAAAATGCCATCATAATAAAGAGGCAAAAAGGAATCAAGAATAATTAGGTGATTTTGTCACTCAATATTTTTCAGCTTATTGCAGAGCTTAATCTTGTCAATTTTATTTGTACTAAGACTCAAAAGATGTAATAATCACAAAGAAGTAAAAATTATTGATGTGCGGATCTTATCTCTAGTCACCACATAATATTTTGCATAAAATTTCAGAAGTTTCATAGACCTCAAATTAAGACTTTCAGTTTAAAATTCTTGATCTTGTGTAATTTCTTTATTTGACAAACGAGGAAAAGTAGTAAAGAAAAACAGGACTAATTCATTCCTTTTAATATTTTTACCTGGCTATACCATATTCCAGGGATGGTGAACCTTTTAGAGACCGAGGACCAAACTGCAACCCAAAACCCAATTATTTATTGCAAAGTGCCAACCTGCACACTGAGGTTTAGTTAAAAAACAACCTTACGTTAACACCTTTTGTCTTAAAAGAGAAATACAATAACGCCCGTGCCATAGGTTTGCCATCATTGCCATATTCGATCCATGCGTCTCTAAAAGTTAGGCTTTAGTTTTTTCTATACTTTTGAGGAGAGGCTCTGCAACAGCTTCTCCCAGTGGCGAGGCACCATCCTTTCATCCCACTTTTGCTACTGCTATGCTTGATAAGGTGGGTTGAGATTTTACTCTGCATTTGCACTGTGCAGAGCCAGGGCAAAGTGGAGAAGCACTGCTCCAGACCCAAGGAAACCCTTCCTTAGATTAAGGGGAAATTGTGTGTATATAAGTGTGTGCATAGATGAGTGTGTCTGAAGAATATGTGTGCCAAGCAATTCCATTGCTAGGTATATACACAAAAAAAGAAAACATATGTTCACACCACAACATTGTAAATGAATGTGCTGAGCAGCTATATTTGTAATAGCCAAAAGACTGATTCCTATGTACTGAAGAAATATTAAATAAATTACTTTTGCATTTAATACTCTATCATCAATAACCCCAATATCCATCAACTGATGAGTGGATAGATATGGGTATGTATGCCCATAAATAGAAAATTAATCAGCAATAATGAGGAATAAAGTACTGTAAGGGCTGCAACATGGAAGAACCTTCAAAATATTACTGTAACTGAAAGAAAGCAGTCATGAACAACCAAATATCATGATTCCACTCATATGAAATATCCAGAAGAGGTAAATGCATAAAGACAAAAGTAGACGGTAGCTGCCCAGGGCTCCTTTAGAGGCGGGTGTGGATATGAAGTACACAGAATTTCACTTTAAAGTGATGAAAGTACTCTAAAATTGATTGTAGTGATGGCTGTACAACTCTGTGATATACTAAAATACAATAAATTTAATATTTTAAATGAGAGAAGTATATAGTATGTGAATTTCAGCTTGATAAAGCCTTTACCCAAAAAGAAAAAAAAAGGAATACATGCATGTAGGAGAAACAGTTCAGGACACTGCGATGAGCAAGGATTTTTTTAGACAAGATCCCAAAAGTACAGGAGACAAAAACAAAAATAGACGAATGCGATTACATCAAAATAAAATGCTTCTACATGATGAAGGAAATAATCAAGATTACAGAGACAAAGTACAGAATGAGAGAAAATATTTTCAAATTGTAGTTCTGGCAAGAGGTTTATATTCAGGGAAAAAAAAGAATAAACATTTAAAAATGGGCAATAGGTAGCTGAGCATGGTGCATACCTGTTATCCCAGCACTTGGAAGGCTGAGGAAGGTGGACTGCCATGAGTTCGAGTCCAGCCTGGACTATATAGTGAGTTCAAGGTCAGCCTGAGCTACATAGCAAGACCCTGTCTCAAAAAACAAAAAGCAAATAAACACACGCACACCCCAAAATGGGCAATAGAGCTAAAGAAGATATACAAATGGCCAACTGGTACATGAAAAAATGCTCAATATCACTACTCATTAGGGAAATGCAAATCAAAACCACAATCAATATCACTTCACCCTGGTAAAAATGGCTATGATCAAAAAGATAAAAGATAAGTACTGCCAAGGATGTAGAAAAAAGGGAAACCTTGTACACTGTTGATAGGAACATGAATTTTATGGCCATTGTGGAGGTCCCTCAAAATTTAAAAAATAGAACAACCATGTAATCTCAGCAATCACATGTCAAGTATATATTCCAAGAAAATTAAATCAGTATGTTGAAGAGAACTCTGCACTCCTGTGATTATTGCAGCACTATTCAAAAGAAAAGGAAACAAACTTTCTGGGTCCATCAAGTGATGAATGGATAAAGAAAAGGAACATATACATGATGGAATGCTACTTAGCCATACAACAATGAAAGCCTGATACAAGTAGAGAGATGATGATGATAAGTGAAATAAGCAGGGAACAGAAACAGAGGCGCTGCATAATCTCACTCATGGAATGTAAGAGTTGCATTCATAGAAGTTGAGTGTAGAATGGTAGTTACCAGTAGCCAGGGAGAGCAGTGGAGAGAAATGAAAAAAGGTTGGTCAATGGCTACTAAATTAGTTAGATTGGAGTAATAAATTCTAAATGTGCTATGGCACAGTAGGGTGACGATAGCTACTGATGATTGTGTACTATGTATTTCAAAACACTAGAAGAAAAGATTTTGGATTTCCACCACAAAAAAGATAGATGTTTGAGGAGTTATGTTTGAACATCACATGATGTATACATGTATCCAAAACATTATGTATTATTCTATCAATACATAAAATTTTTGTTTTAGCATCAAATTTTTTAATTTTGAAAAAGCTTGTACATGTATAAAATGTATACAGGAGCATAAACTCTAAGAATGTGTATTTTATTACAAGTAACTAAATGAAGTATAATAAATAATGAAAGTCTTTTGGAGTGGAAGTAAAAATCTGTTTTCTATAAAAATGTGTGATGTTTTCAAGAACTATTTATGAAACATTAAAAGCAGAGGTCAGTTTAATGATTACCATTTCAAACAAAAATTCAAAGAATTATTTCTATTTCAAATATATCAGTATCTTAATTTTTACAGCTACAGAAATAATGTATTCTCCAAGTGAAAAACATCGATAATTGAGTGCTTAGTGTTGATGCCTTACTTGTCTGTAGTCTGTCTTTCTAAGAAGATGTTCTAAAGCTAGTTTTACATGTTTAAAGGTATTTAATTCTTTTGTTAATATTTCCTTCTGTTCAGAAATCTTCTTCAAATTGGATGCAGAAACATTGGCCTGCAAAATATAAAAACCAGATACCCATAAGACACAGTATTAGGTAAAACACTCTAAAATATCACCGTTAAAGAATAACTTTTCCCATCAAGAAAACCATTCTTTTGTCTATAGCAATAATAAACTGTGGCAAACTTATTAATAGTAGATAGGATCTGTTACACAGTGCATTAAATTAAAATAAAAATAAGGGCTTAAACTCCAAAAGTATTACAGTATTTATTCTAATAAAAGTTATAGGACACAGTTTATTTTTTGCCCCTAACTCGAACTTTAGTATGTTAAAATTTTAAATATTTTATTTTCAAATAGCACTATAGAAACCAAAAATGTCTTAGCTCTTAGAAAATTTTATCTTTAAATTCACTGTTGGGAAGAGCTGATAGTCTTTAATTCAAGGCTAGGGAAATCAAGAACCCAAATATACAGTTTCCAGCTTAGCTTCTCATCTGATGCAGGTCTGAGATTACTGTATCTTTTAGAGAAAGAATTGTAATTAATGACATAAGAATAAAGGACACTGATAAATTCCCATTGTTAGTATCAAATACCCACATGTAGGCATACCTACTTATGATACGAGACCTTAGTTAATGTATTCTGTGCATTATTCTAGCTTTTTATTAGATGTCATAAATCAAATACTCACACTTGCAAAATTAATCTCTTCAATGGTGTTCTTAAATAATGGCAAAAGTGATTCTATAGAACATGTTGCCAACTCAGCTTCATTAAGTGTTGCCTCCAATTCAGTCTTTTCATCATTTAGGATGTCCTGCTTCAGGCTAATTATATATGCACAAATAAAATTTAAATTAAGTCTATCACATACTGGTTACACTTTTTATGTTAATACAGCATAGTCTAAATATTACAGTTCTATAAATTGCTCTATAAAATGTGATAAAGAATTGTCACAGAAAATGTGCAAACTTTTTCCTATACTTCCATAATTTTTCTACACTTTCTATACATGGAAAGATAATTTTTTTAAATGTAAAGATATGTAAAACACAAAAGCTGCAATTAGCAATGCTTAACTATGCTGTTTGGTAATTATTCAATGTCTACTCTCTAGTTTATAGGACTAAGTATTTGAAATTTTTTTTTCTTCTCCTGTTTTTCCCTTACTCCAAATTCAACAAAATATGTCTTTGTAGATCTTATTCTCAAAGCTTTGCATGAAACCTACTGTCCTTCACAAAAACTTCCTCCAAAAGAATGAATGAGCTAAACAAATGGAACACAAAAACTAAAGCTTTCCAGATGTCTCAAAATCCTTCACAAGTGGCTTTGGAATACATGCCTTGCAACTCAAAACAAAACTGCTAATATCAGTACTCTTGGTTATGCTTACCTGGCCTCTCCCCCACTTGGCGGAGGGGTGTACTGATTCAGGGTGAGTCTCCGAGAGCCCTCAGCCACAAGGCACCTTGACCTATCTGTACACACCCAGAATTTATAGAATGGGGTGTTCAAAACTTTGAAGAGTAGCTCAGAGAGATAGGGGTACAACTACACTTTTAACTCCTGGGAACAAATGATTGTAGAGAAAAGTCAGGGGAGTTAATGAAGCAGGAATGTTTGGCAACATTAAGGTTCAACCTCCAGCACTGAAAAAAATAAATAGGGGAGGGCTCAAAAGAGTTTGACTTTTGAGTCCAGTTTTGAAAATACTTTGTTTCACTTACATTTTGCTTTTATTCAAATTGCAAGTTATTTGAATTAAAAATCTGTGTAGTGCATAAGTATATTTAAAGGAACTTTCCCAATATGAATAAAATTTCAAGTGACGTGAAAGCATTGTAGCTTTCTTTAATTGGCAGCTTTTCTCTTTCCATACAGAACATAATATACTGGCATCTTACAAGCTACGTCAAAAAGTACATAACAAAACTTTTGTTAGTAAGTATCACTGGCTTAAAGGGCCAAAGAAGATTATGGAGATGAATGATATCTGTCCCTCATTAAAAACCACAGGCAGAAAGTCAGTATTTTTAATTGGTTTCGTTAAGATTGAAAAACCTAGGGAAAGTCTGCTTAGTACAGTTTTTGTATCAGAGCAAATATTTTAATGAATTCTAAATTTGAAAAGATAGTCTTGAAAGAATATTACATTTTATTCATAATGTACATTATGGATGAAATATAAATCCCCCAAATCAGATGATTAGATTTTCCCGGATAATGATGAGAATACCAGCTGAGATGGTTTTCACTGGCACTTCGTGGTAAATGTTCTTTCTCTGATGTAGTTTTAAGATGGGCAAAGAGTTCCTCTGACTGACTGCCATGATTTGCAGGCTTCTCCATAAATTCAGTAAATAGGTTTATAGGTGGCTGCAACAACTCCACATAAGCTGAAACCTAAGAAACATTTCAGTTATTAAACTTATTTCAGGAGATTCTTGTTTCCTGTCCTTACTTTATAAGATAAAGATCCTAATGACATATAAAAAATATTTCAAAGACAAAATCAAAATTACAAATTCTCATTGTTACACTAACTCAAAACAGTATCAAAATTGCATAGTAAAATCACTCACTGATGGCCAATTTCTAAAGTTTCCAAAAGGCCCGCTATTTTCTACATAATTATAAGTAGGTAAAACTCTTTATTAGTCTATTTCTTAGAGTATTACAATAAAATTGTCAAGGGCCAGGGATTTAGCTCAGTGGTTCTGGTGCTTGCCTTGCAACTTGCAAGCACAAGGTCCTGAGTTTGATCCCTGGTACCAAAAACAAACAAACAATAAAGCTAGGACTAGAAAACAGACATATAAACCATGGATGTAGGATAATCTGTGGTGGTAAGGAATAGACAGATGACAGTACCTCTAAACTTTACTGACCTAATTGTTTTCATTCAAACTTGGAGATGATACTCTTAAAATACAAATGTTTATGAATTTCTTTAAAATTGTTCTGCAATAAATGATAAGTTAGACCTTTAGTAACTATTAAGGCTGTGTTTCCACAATTCTAATAATTTATGGAAATGTGTCTCGACTTCATTTTATGTTTATACAAAATCAAAGGTTGTGTTTAAAGTGTTTTATATTTTTATACAGTTATGATTTATTTTGTATTTCTGTATTAAAAATGCAAAGGTTTAAGAGTTTTCAGTATTAGTTACATGTGAAATTATAGGTTGAAAATTATTCACAATATTTAATTAGCAATTCAGATCCAAACTATCTGTAAAAATGCATTTATTTTTGTCTGATGGTCCGATACCTCGCAGAGACAAGTATTTAATGCACAGGCCAATGAATATTTGCTCATGCTTTTTAAATATCAGCAACTGAAATCCAAAATGAACAGCTAAATAGAACCTAAGATGATCCTTTTGAATGCTGAAAATATCTACTACTAGGGCATACCAGTATTTTCAGCTATTTATAGTCTAGAAGAATTAAAAATAAGCAGATACACAAAATCAAATAAAAAGCCAAACTTAAAGGGTAGAAAAATATGCTCTGGGTAAGTCACAGAAATCAAGAAAGCCATCGTCATGGATTTGTTCAGTTGCAACAGCTACTGCCCCTGAGACAGGTCCTGGTACAGTATTTACCTTTCATCCATTCATTTGTTTAAATACATATGTCTCTGTAGACTGGAATCTCAAGAAAGAATGTTTGATCTACAGTCAAATCCTCAGCACATACCAGCCTTGCTTTTATTCTAAAATAGAAATCATTTTTCTTTTAATAATCCCCAAGATGAATCAAGGGATGAATAGGTAAAAAATAACACAGTATATTCATCGTATCTATTAAGGGTTTTGAGCCTATGTTCTTTCCTTTATTTACTGCTTTTATCATGCTTTTACATGCTATGAACTGTTCAGGACCTAATTATTTGCAGAATTTTTGCAAATCACTATTAAGGTGACCATAAATTGAGAACTATTAACACAGAGCCAAGGAGAAAACAATCATTGATTTCCAACAGAATCCCGCCCAGTAGATGTTATTTCAACCATATTACTATGCTTATCATTTTGATTCTCATTCATTCTTATTGGCAAGCATAATAAATAATATAAACAAAGCTATTTTCTCATCTCTTGGGATGTTTGAGATACAAAACCTCAACTATAAGTACACATCAACTGTGGAAATAGAAGAAAAAGACAAGCAAAATATTGATAACTGTTAAAAATTATAAACATAATCATATTCTTACTGCAAGCAGAACAGTATCAAACTAATTTTATGTATAAGCAGACAGGTTGGGTGTGGTGGCACTCTGGGATCCCCAGGTAGGAGGATGGAGACCAGCTGGGGCAATTTACCTTGTCTCAACATGGGGGGGGGGGAGAAAGGAGGGGGAGAGAGAGAGAGAGAGGGAGAGAAGGTAGGAAGAAAGAAGGAAGGAGGAGGAAAGGAGGGAGGGAGGAAAGGAATGGTGGGCTGAACTCAATCCCCAGAACCAAGGGGGAGGGAGCTTTCTGTAGTTGTTTCTTTAACCATAACTAACAAAAAAACTACTCCAAGACCCTCACACAACACTTGAACCATTACAAGGCAACAGATGACATGGAACAGTCTTTGAAATTAGACTTTATGAACACAGCCAATCTGGTCATGGTTATTCTCAATAAATAACAAGCACCACACACTAACCACCTTGTACAAATTCAGTGTCACCTCTGTGATGCTGCGTTTAATCTCTTTTATGTGATCATTAGTGTCCCCATTTTATAGAAAAGGAAACCAAAACCAGGAAGGTTAAGTGACCTAATATCACACCAACAGTTCAGTGACAGAGCTGGAAGTGAAAGCAAGCCAGCCTGTAGGGCTTTCCAAGATACTGTGCCAAACGCTGGTAAAAAGCACCTGGAGCAGGGATGGCTAATCTTCTAGAGACCGTGTGCCCAAAGTCCAACCTAAAATCCGCTTATTTACGGCAAAGTGCCAACGTAGGCGCGGTTACGCGATGCTGGGCTGCTGGAGAGATGCTGGGGCGACGTGGCTGAGCCTAGAGGACCCCGTGCCTGCTGCGGCACGCGTGCCAGAGGTTCGCCACCCCTAAGGAGAATGCTGAAGAAGCCAGAGGCTACCCAGAATACACCTCACAGAGCAATCGGGCAGTTTGGTGAGCGTTTAAAAACCAGAACAGTTAAAGCAAAATTTCCGAAAAAAACAGCGAATACCTAGACACCTGTTCTGGACAGGCCCATCTAGCGATAAGATTTGCCTTAAATTCTCAAGGACCACACTACTTAGGAGTGAAAGTTCTGCCCCTGGGGAAAGAGGAGGGAGGAGCAGAAAGGAGCTGGGACCAGCCAGGGTGGAAGCCAGGATCTGCAGTTCCGGGATCCGCCCCGCCCTATACTTTTCAAGAGCCGCACTCAGAACAGCCCCGCAGCAGACAAGCTTCCCCTCTTAGAGCTCCTGGGCCCAAAGTCGCACCTCCGCCTCCCCAGCTGCGTCAGCGCGTCGCCGTGATGTCAGCGCGTCATCGTGGCGTCAGCCCGCCGCCTCGATGCTCAGTGTACCTGAGGGTCCACGGCCAGCGCTCGGCTGTAGTAATGGGCGGCTCAGCCAGCGTACCTGTGCTCTTCGGCCCTGGGTCGGCTAGGAAGGAGCAGAACGCCGGGGTTTGTAGAGTTGGGAGGAAGGCTAGAGAGAGAGGCAAGGGACGCCAGGTGAGAAGCAGGCGAATGCCTTGAACAGCTAGCGATGGAAGAGTGCCCACCAAGGTGCATTGGCACAAAAGAGGAGCTGGTAACCTGCAAGTGGCTTCTGTGGCAACGGCCGTCCGCCCCTTCCGCTGTCGGCAGCTGGCGCAGCCGATTGGCCCGAGTTCTGGCGAGCAAGCGCCTCCTCTACTGCTATTGGCCGGAGTGAAGGGGCGGTGCAGAAGGGGCGGTGCAGAAGGGGCGCCTTGTTTCCGCCCCGCCTCCGTCTCCTTGGTGAACTTTCTTAAAGCTTTTGTTTTATGAAAAGGGCAGCACTTGTGCATAGCTATTGAAAAATCTTAACTGTGCTTAACTGAAAAGGGAAATAAGACCAATTTCGAATTTTCTTAGGCTAAGTCTGGAAGAGCCCTGCTTTTGGTTTTTCTAAGCGGAGATTTGAAAAAGCCAAGGTAACTGCAATGGAAAGGAACCTCGTTTTAAATGTATGGGTTTTGTTTTGTTTTGTTTTATCTGAGATCTCCTTAGGGCCCTAGAGTTTTTTCTATTAAATGAAGGAGCCGGTTGGTGCTGTCTAAAACCTCACATTCTTTGTATCTGCGCTGTGGCCAGCTATAAAATGTATAAACTTTTGAAGAAGTAAAACAAGATTTTATTTGGAAAAGTCATTCGATGCCTCTACCTCTTGTCCCTCTTAGGCTAATAATATACAGTATTTAGTTCATATATAGAGAAACAGTCAACTGAGCATTTTAACAATGCCTGATTTTACCTATTATTTTTACTGTTATTTTCTATCAGTGACTCCAGCAATGCCTTCTTTTTCCCCAGCACTGTGATGGTCCAGTAGAAAATTCATGAGATTTAAAAACAAAAAAATTCATAACACATAATTGTTCCTTTTATGCAAATGGTAAAAGGTGCTGGGGATTGTGATTTAACTATCACCTATGGACTATGTATGACCTTTGGCAAGTGAAAACTAACTTATCTGGACAATTTTCTCAGGAAAAAAAAAAGAGGAGAGGGGGCCAGCAGAGTTTGGGTAGAGAACATGAACAATGCTAGCCTAGTCAGTGCTAACTAGGATTCTAGCTAACTTGTCCTAAGTAAAAGAAAATAACTTAAAAGTGGTTAGACTCCATTTTTTAAAATGTTTTAATTGCACTGGCATTAGATATAACCAACTATTACATGCAAAGAAAAACATTCACAAAATCTATAGTCAGACTTGTAAATGAGTAAGTGTCTCAAATTGACTCCATTAACTGGATTGTCCAAGTAAAGTCATCTAGATCTAATCTGTTCAGAAAATCTGTTTAGGAAATCTGTGAATTTTCAGATGGAAATATTCCTTGCTCTATTATTATTCAAATTGGAAAAGAGTTCATTCTAGAGTATCCCATAACTGTAATTTTACCCTAAATTTTTATTTTTTTATTTTTTTATGCACTTTATTAAATTCTTTTATTGGTGCATTGTAGGTATACAACACAATTACATTTCTCATTGGGAATTGTACCTTTATATAATGCATCTT